CAAGACTCCATCAACTGCACCTTCCAAGTCTGTGATCTGTATCACATAAATGGACTACATCAGAAAGTGCGTGGGAACAGCATTACTGACAAGTTATCCTCCAAGTTATTATGCCTATATCCCAGGAGTAAACAAAAAACTATAAAAAAACCGAGAACCATGACATCAATATCGCTCTCACCCTGCTGCTCCTCCATGTCCTTCTGATACTGGTTTTCTTATCAAACAAACAGCCAGCTTTTGAAACCACGCTAGTTGTTAGGCAGGAATTCTGTAGAAAAAATATTTAAAAGGCACCCTACTGTTAAGAACTGCAGGATATTCATAACATCTGAACTTCTAGGTTTCCCACCTATAATCTCTCTTTCTCTGGACCAAATGCTCCTCAGTGATAACTTGTTGCCCACCTCTTTGAAAAAAGCTTTGGTGCCTGACTGGACCGCATATTGTATGTGACGTTAGTTAGAACAGTAACCAGCTTTTGCTTTATTGAGCATGTGCAAAGTCATTGATAAGCCAACATCTCCTCAGAGCAGCTACAGTGTCAGATGATTAGGAAGTTTCCCAGTAATAACTTGATATGTCATAAAATCAATTGAAATGAACAATGCATTAGATATGGCTTTGTACATTTCCAAATGTGACCTTAATCACTGAGCTTTCTCAAGCTTTAATTTTTCTACATCCCATCAATTTCTCCACTTCTTTCCTCAGGATATCTTTGGTATGGTTACCAAGCATGAACATCAACTGCTGAAAAATCATGCACTACTTTGCATGTTTTGATAATCATAAAGCAACCTATCGTAGACCTCCTACAGCACGGAAGTAGGTCATTCAGCCCATCGAGTCTGCAATAACCCTCTAAAGAACCTTCCACCCAGACCTACCCATCCCATGGCTAATCCACCTAAGCTGCACATCCCTGGACACTATGTATTAGTGTGCAGGGGACACAAGTTTACAGATGATGCAAAACTCAGAAGCATTATCAACTGTAAGGAGGACAATGTAGACACTTAAATGGACTTTGACAATTTGGTGGATTGGGTGAATAGGTGGCAGGTAAATTTCATAACAGAGTGTATGAAATTATACATATAAGGCATTAGTTAGACCTCAGCTAGAGTATTGTGCACAATTCCTTAGGTCTAGCCATACTGACTCTGTCTTTGAATCCCCTGGGACATTCTCTTTCTGTAGCACTACACTTTTCTCCATAACCAATACTGCCACTCACCATTTTGTTTCCTTTCCTATTTTCTATGAACGCCATGTAACAAGGAATTTTTAACATCCAGTCCTGCCCTTCATTGAGCCATGTTTCTGTTATTGCTACAACATCATTATTCCACATGGAAATTTGTGCCTGCATCTTGCCAAACTGATTTATGAGACTCTATAGATTCACTACAGTCAGTCCAGCTCCGAAACAGAATCTATTTCTTTCTTTTTCACAATGCCACGTATTAACTTAATATTCCCTATTATATTGATCACTGAGAGGCTGTAGATTGTGGTAGTACTTTTTACTATCACTCCACCTTCAAAGTACTAGCATAATGCTCCATGTTTTATACATACTAGCAGACATCCTGTTGCATTACTCATAATAAGTCAACTGGGTGGCAGGATGTAAACATCATAGATTAGTTATAACAGGAACTTCATTGACTAGAATATACATTTGGAAAGTGATAGTTGAAAAGGAGGAAGGCAAATTGTATTGAGAAGAATTTTGTACACCAGTATGTTTCTGGTCCAGCAAAAAAGGAGGCACTGCTAGACCTTAATCGTGGGAATGAGGATGATCCAAGTAGAGCAAGTATCAGTGGGGGAGCATTTTGGGTACAGTGATCACTGTACAGTACGGTTGGGGATGGTGGTGGAAAAGGACAAAGGTAAATCCAAAATAAGAATAATTAACTGGAGGGAGAGCTTACTTCAATGGAAGAAGAGCAGAGCTGGGCCAGATGGACTGGATCCAAAGGTTGATGGAAAAAGAGTAGAAAATGCGGACTGTGAAAAAAGACTAGCAGCGAACACAAAAGGAAATCCTGAAGTCTTCTACAGGCATATAAACAGTACAAAGCTGGTAAAAGGCCATTTAATGACAAAAAAGTGGATTTACACAAGGGGATAAGAGCATGATAAAGATGTTAAATGATTACCTTGCATCTGTCTTCATGAGAGAATGAGATACTACCCAGACAGTGATGTCAGAGGAGGAAACACAGTCATGAGAGGGATTTAAAATTAACAAAGAGTATTGGACAAGCTGTCAGTGTTTAATTTGATTAGTGAGTGGGACCAGACATGATGCATCCAAGAAAGGAAGTGAGTGGAAATTGCAGAAGCAATAGTTGTTATCTTTCAATCTTCCATGGACTCTGTGTGGTGCCAGAGGACTGGAAACATACCAAGTTAACACCCTCGTTCAAAAAAATTTGTAAGAATAAGCCCTGCAATTACAGACCAGATAGTTTAACTTCACTGGTGGGGTCACTTCTTGAAACAATTATTCTGATAACATTAATAGTCAAAATGGAAAAATATGGTTAATTAGGAAAGGCCAGCATGGAATTCTTAGGAGAAAATTGTGTTTAGCTAATTTGCTGGAGTATTTTGAAGAGGTACCAGAGAGACACAATGCAGGAAGGTTGTTGATATGTTAGTTGTGGATTTCCAAAAGGCATTCGATACATTGCCGCACAACAGACATTTAGGAAAATTGTTGGTCATGGAGTAAAGGAGGCAGTAGCTATATAGATAAGAAATTGGCTGAAGGATACGAAAGAAACAGTAATGTTTAATAAACATCATTCAACCTGGAGGAAGGTTTGTAGTGGAGTTCCCCGGGAGAGAGGTCACTTGCTTTCCCTGACATAAATTAATGGTCGAGATCTTGGTGTGCAGGGGACACTAGTTTACAGATGATACAAAACTAAGAAGCATTGTCAACTGTGAGAGGGACAATACAGATGTTTAAAAGGACATTGACACATTAGTGGAGACAGTGAATAGGTGGCAGATGAATTTCATTACAGAGCGTATGAAATGATACATATAAGGCATTAGTTAGACCTCAGCTGGGTTATTGCGCACAGTTCCAGGTGCGACATTTTAGTAGAAATATGCATGCATTAGAGAGAATGCAGGAGAGGTTTACAAGAATGGATCCAGGGATAAGAAATTTCAGTTATAATAGATGGGAGAGGTTGGAACTCTTTTCCTTGTAGGAGAGCCGCTGAAGAGAAGATTTGATAGAAGTTTTCAAAATTATGAGGGCCCGGAAAGTGTGGATCAGGAGAAACTATTCCCACCCACAAAAGAATTGAGATTGAGAGGGCACAGGTGTAAGGTAATTTGCAAAAGAAGCAAATATGACTTGTGTAAAACTGCCTGGGATTCTGGTGAAGATAGGTTCAATTGAAGCATGCAAGAGGACATTAAGTGGTTATTTAAACGTAAACAATACTCAGAGTAGTGTGGAAAAGCAATGTCCCTTCAGACACAACAAGCTCAATGGTTTCCTTCTGCACCACAACAAGAATGTGTGTACCTGTATCCTATCTTACTGTCGCCCAAGGAAGAAGGCAATCCTGGAAATCAATGCTTCCCAGAAAGGACAAGGAGCATGCAGCATGCAAGATAGCAAACTAATTGCATTTGGATCCAAAGGACTATTGCCAGCACAATCCAATTATTTCAACGTAGCAGGTGAAACACTTGCTCTAGTATTCAGCATCACAAGATTCGATACATGCCTGTTTAGTAGGCAGATCATGTGGAAACTAGACACAAGTCACTGGAAATTACTTAGCACAAACCACTGACAAGTGCATGCCCAGACCACACAAATTCTAGTAGAAGTACAGGGACATGACTTTGACGCCTGATATAGAACTGGTACCAAAATAACTACACAAATGTACAAAGGCTAATTACCGCTGGCAGAGATTGTGTTTGGCAGGCAAGTTAGACCAACCTAGCCAAGTCATCACCTTACCACATTCTCAGAAGTACAGGACAGACATCAAAAAACAAGACAGAATGAAGATGGTGCATGACCGAAATGCAGTTCTGCTTAATCTTTGTATAAGGCAGGTCATAACCGTAGAGGTACACAACCCATCCATGTCAGAGTTACACATCCCACACAGGGAACATGGTCACCTGCAGCGTTATTCTAAGTGTGCAGTCAGCCTGCATTCTGCAAATTCAGAACAACAATGGAGCAAATTGAAAAGAAATGAAAACTAACTCAGTGAATTGTACAACACTCCATTTCTGCATAAAACACACAAAAGTGCTTGGATAATGAAGTTGAGAAAGATCATGATGACAATAATCAACACGTTAATACCATGCAAAATTCCCACATATCTACAAGAAGAGCACACCAAAGTGTGCAGTTTAAATCTCTGGAAGGTTATACAATCACAAGGTCCAGAAGGATTGTCAAACTGACTCCTTACTCTTTAAATGTTTCAATTATTATTTCCGTGTAAATAGTTTTGCAACTATTCCAACGTACACATTTTCATTCTTAGTTATATCTTAGTGAAAAAAAGAGTTGGTAATGTTATTGATTTCAGAGATGCATTGCTTTAAGGGCTGGATATGTGAATGAGTCAAGGAGCAAGATGAAACCACATGACCAAGTACTATGTACAGTGCAGCAGAAGCAAGATGGAAGAGGATGCATACACAGTTATCTGTAACTGTAACTTGTACTCTGAGCTGATAAACATACATAAATGAAATTTTCAAGTGAACAATCCATGCTCCTTAATCTGTTACTTACTGATAACACAAGAAATGCAACAAATAGTGTACTATTTCTTGAATGTACTATAATTAGTTCACTGTGCTGAAATGTAAAGTGTTTGTGGTTATTTAGTTATTCTACTGACCAGATCTTACAACATGATAAAACGATCAAGTTATATGCAATTATCACAGCAAGCAACCTGAATAGATATAGAGAGAATACTCACTTGATTTATCTTCCTTTATTGAGTAATCTTGAATGTTAGGGATTCCACCAAGTCCAGGAAAATTCACTGAAAGTACCATGTTTGAGAGGGTGCAATCTTTCCTCACCATGAATCTCTGGAAATAGGAATGAATTGCTCTAAATTGTCATGATTAAGTGATAGGAAATAAGAAGGTGCAGATAGAATGGTCACCCAGTATTCAAATCAAGCTTAACTGGTTAAAACAATCCCCAGAAACCTAACTATTGGAGAACGTGCCCACGTCACTATCCATTTCATGTTTTTACTGATGTGTAGTATCAGTGATCTTAACTCCAAAATGCTTAGACGTACAGCACAATTATGAAAAAAAAAATTCCATCTGTCAAGAGCATGGGTGGTTCCATTTGAAAGAGCTCTGCATCACTGGTCTAGAAATGGAGCATGACAATCACAGCTAACACCTATTTTCCTGTAAACTGAAATAATTCACTCAATGTTGCTTTTCAAGATGAACGTTGCAGGTATAACAAAGTGGGGAGTGCAATCTGGTCTATTTAAACTAAGTGGAGAATTCAACAAGTGGAATAGGGTCTAAAAACAGGGTATGGACTTTGATGTATGATTATTTTGTGTCCATCCGTATAACACCTAGTAGTACGTAAAATTTGTGCGGCTTGTTGATTTGAATGATTTTAGTGTCTAGCCAATCACAAAGTTGATTGCTTGGATGAGTGCATGGGGGGCTGAAATTGCGACTGATTCACAGCACTTGAAGGATAGACGTACTGACGCTGCACAGTTGTGCAAGAACTGAATCTGAGCTGGGAAACATTGAAAAATACTACAACACAGGAGAAGAACAGGTTTCAAACGTTTTGGACACTGCACTGAATAAGATGGTAGGGAGGGAACAAAGGGAGAGAAATACTTGTATTCATCAGAAGCCACAGAGTCAAAGGTTATTGGGGGTAGGCAGGTAAGTGAAGTTGAGGCTACAATCAGATCAGCCATTACTTACTGTAATCCCAGCAGGCTGGTGGGGCTAAATGGCCTACTCCTGCTCCTAATCTGTAACTCAATCAAAATCATCAAAATGTATCCTACATCATTATCTCTACATATTTCCTCATCACCAATATTAGGCTAATTGTGTGATATTCTAGGTTCAACGCTACCCCTTTTTTGAACAGGGGTTTGTAATTCTCCATACCTGATGATACCAGCCCCATACCCACTGAGAGGATTGTGGCCAAAGGCTCTCCAGAGGCCTTCTTACTACTTCTGGGAATCCAGGATCTGGATTCAAGTGACCATTCTGCTTTGAGTACTGTCAACCTTTCAAGTACCATGTCAGTGACTAGCCTACATTAAAGCATCCTCTTCTCTAGAGGAAACAAGCACTAATTACTTATTTAGTACCTCAGCCATAAAAAGAAATTTCTTCAGTCCCTAATCAGCCACACCCTTTCTTTGACTTCCCATTCGCTACTTATGTTTATGAAAGACTTTCGTGTTTCCTTTTATACTACCACTATTTTCATAATCTCTTTGGTCTCTAACTCCTTATTTTTAGACGTCCTATGCACTTCTTTCTCCAATCATCTTGGCTCTTTCCTATTAGGAATTTACTTGTTTTTTCTCTGCCCCATTTTAACATCTGTAACTTTTGTCATTTGGCTGCATTAACTTTGGAAGTGTTTTCTTCCCACGGGAGTATATTTACTCTATTCATAGGGTCTCCTGTTTGAAGGTATTCCAATACTCAATTGCTGCTTGTCTACCAAATTCAGAAGTAAGAGTTAAAATCTATGATAGACTGCATTCAAAGTAATGCAGGCAGGAGGCAAACTTCCTGCTGCCTGCCAATTATGTAGATGATGCTGGTGAATGGTGCCATGTCTCAGCAGGAGGTTCAAGTTTGTTTGAGCTCAGCACCACTTAAACCTAGCCTGCACCAGCATCAGACTGCACCTTTTAAAAATGTAGCATAGTCTAGCTGTAGCGGGAATCAGAAATCATGAAAGAGGGGCTGGAGGTTAGGGAGAGCCTTCAGAAATAGTTCAACAAGTCAGCAAGTCTGTGCCTTCGTTTTCCAAGGCAGTGCCAGAAATGCACTAAGAAGGCAGCAGGAATAGGTAACCATCATTGTCAATGCCAACAGTTGAACCTCAAGGAACTGGAGTAAGTAGCACATGTTTAATAACCTTGTTGGAGTTGTCTAGTTCAGTCTACAACTGTACCACTGGGCTGACGCATTGCTCTATTCATTGCACTCTGTTCACCAGTTTATCAACAACCTTGATCAAACACAACTCATACCTCAGTCATATTCTTAACTCACTATTACCAATTTAGCATGACGTTCTCACAGCTATTCAGTCATGGCATGCACATCACTAAACCACATTGCACAAAACTCCCTGACACACTTCCCTTTCTCTTGCAGGACAAATTGAAGGCAGTGGAATTTAACTAAAAGAGGACAGGCACTATTGCATGTCTGCCTCAGTGGAGGAAACAATGCTGGGAATCATTAAGATTCCTATAATGTGGAAGCAGGCCATTTGGTCCATCGTGTCCATACCGGCCCTCCAAAGAGCGTCCAACCCAGACCCAGCCCCCTACCCTATCCCTGTAACCATGCACTTACCATGGTTAATCCAATTAGCCTGCACACCGCTGGACATTATGGGCAATTTAGCATGGCCAATCCACCTAACCTGCACATCTTTGGACTGTGGGAGGAAACTGGAGCACCCAGAAACCCACACAGACACAGGGAGGATGTGCAAACACCATACAGTCACCCAAGTTTCGAACAGAACCAGGGTCACTGGCGCTGTAAGACAGCAGTGCTAACCACTGAGCCAACATGCCACCCATTGGTGTGCCTGTAACTGAGGCAGAGGCTGTCAAAGGCAGTGGAAAGTTCCCATCTGATCCACCCTCTTTTATCCCACTCTCTGCCTCTGGTCACAATCTCTGTTAGCTGCAAGCTATAAGTGGTGAATGTGTGGACTGCTTATTTTTTTCTACCTTATCACAGATCTCATCACAGTCTGACCCTGTGCCTTCCTGTCTGATTTGGAAGAACTGTAACCATGTCAGGCAGTGGCAGGGAGGTGTGAAGCCCAAGAGGAGCAGGGGTTTATTATGATGAAACACATTTAGTCTCACACCGACAGCTACCAGCTCAGACACTGGCACTTTCTGTTGTTTACAAAGGAACAGAACTGGGATTTTGTGAGTCATGGTTCTTGAGTGGGTTGCAGCCAGGATGTGGGAAGGGGTTATTTAGGTATCAGTCCCCTCAGATGGCGAGTTCACCTGCTGCAGAGGACTTTGATGGAGAATTCTGAGAACAAAAGCCCGACAGGGTATTGTCATGGAGAATGGAGGACTCGGGCATCAATTTGGAACAAGGCTTTGTGCAGAGTTTGGTCAGTGTCCTTTTTCCAGCAAGGAAGCGGTGGTCATTGCCACGAGAACGTACACAGGACCCGATCATGATTCAGTGACTCACTGTGTGTTTCAGCTGCTTGTTCTCCTGCCTCTGAGTCAGAAGGTTCCACTCACAGAGCAAAAAAACTGAGGCTGACATTTCAGTGCTGCACTGAGGGAGCTCTGCTTGGTCAGCAGTGCTGTCTTTTGGATGAGACTCCAGCTGCCTGCTGGGGAAGATGTAAAACATTCCATGGCACTTTTTCAAAGAAAGACAGGCCTTGTCAATGGCTAATATTTATCCCTCAATCAACATCTCAACAAGCTGATTATCTAGCCATTACTACATTGCTAGGTGTGGGAAACCTGCCTGTCTGCAAACTAGCTATTGCATTTCCTGCATTGCAACTGGAAACTGCATGCTGGAAAAGAAACCCATTTGATGTAAAGTATTTTCAGATATCTGATGGTCACTAAAGGTGTTACACAAATGTAAGCTGTTCTTTTTTCATCATTATGTTTCAGCCTCCATTGCAGCACAACCAGACACAATGCCTTATTGCCGCAATGAAAACTCAGACTTCTACAATCTCGCCTGAAAGCACTCAGACAGCTGTCATCCTGGCTACAAGTATCGAAGTTCCTACAGAACACTCATCCATAATGCATTCATGGCCCCTTTTGCTTTGTGTTTAAAGCTGTGATTATCTTGCTTGAAATAACTCTTCAGAGGCTGGCATCGCACCACCTGTCTACCATCTCCAAGGCAAAAGTCAGGAGTGTGATGGAATACTCCCCAATTGCCTGGATGAGGGCATGTCCAATACATTCAAGAAGCTTGACACCATCGAGGACAAAGCAACCCGCTTGACTGGCACTACATCTACAAGCATTCACTCCCTCCACCACTGACGCTCAGTAGCAGCAGTGTGTACTGTCTACAAGATGCACTGCAGAAATTCAACAAAGATCCTCAGACATCACCTTCCAAACCCACGACCATTTCCATCTAGAAGGACAAGGGCAGCAAATATATGGGAACAACACCCATGTTCAAGTTCCCCTCCAGGCCACTCACCATCCTGACTTGGAAATATATCACTGTTCCTTCTCTGTCGCTGGGTCAAAATCCTGGAATTCTGTCTCTAATGGGTCAACCCACAGCAAGTGGACTGCAGCGTTTCAAGAAGGCAGCTCACCACCATCTTCTCAAGGGCAACTAGGGATGGGCAATAAATGCTGGCCTAGCCAGCGATGCCCACATCCCAAAAATGACTTAAAAAAAACCAATCACCCTTTATGTAAAATGCATAGCCTTTGACAATAGCACTGTCTTTCACTGAGTCAGGCATTCTGGGGGCCCAATATCCCTGATCCTCACCCTTTTATGTCAGTCAGGGCTCCCTGATTGGACCAGATTAATAGCCCCAATCAGGGAACTCATATTCTATGAAGTCTAGCTGGCTGACCTCATTACAATCACTATGTTGCTTACTATTGTAAGTGAGTAGTTGACTTTTGTATCCATGTGTGTGTGATACTGTAAACTTCAAGACTGTTTTTAAGAGGGGGAAGAGAGCAGTTGCATCCCACATCCCACCCCTAAAGGAAAGTAAGTTGAAAAGTCTGTTCTAGGGCCAGGGGTTTGAATCCCACTATAGCAGACGGTGACATTTTATTTCAACAAAAATC